TGCACTGGCTCATTGCTGAGTACATTGATTGATATGCCAAGTATGACACAACTACACTGAGAATCACACAGCTAAGATGATACCATCCATCATGCTTTGATTTCAAGAGATGAGGAGGCTATTGGGCAGATTCAGATGAGGATCGTTGACCCCATCAGAGAGTCTCCATGTCTTAATCGACCTAATCAGTATTTTAAGAAGTACAACCCAGGCAATACATAATGTTCTGACTGCGAGAATGTGATCACCCCCACATGATGGGTCTGAATACAGCCTTGCCCCAGCCACAGACCTCTGCCATACCTCAGATATGCAGGTCACATCCGTCCACCCTTGAAGGCCAGCCTGGGCAACAATCCCAGCAATGTTTGGTAACTGAGGCCTGTTTCCACCTGTCTCTCACTGCTTTGTCTTATTTCCAGGTAGCCAGGCACCGTTACTATGGTAACATACATCCCAAATGTCAGTGAAGTGTTGTATGGGGTGCTTTGTTGGTATTCTGTGGAAGTGATGAAGGGAGCTTGGCCTGAAGGTATCTGTTGCCACACCTGGCTGTTTAAACATCAGGAGCCATGGTCGGCTCTGCCTGTAGAGATGCCATTCCTTGTACAGGAAGGAAAGGGGATCTCCTTCACTCAAATCAGCACATTACATCCCCCTATAAACCTTTAATTGGCCAGCAGATCAGATGAAAATATCTTTTCAGATAAGAGCCACATACGTTGATTTAGCACAGGAGATAGAACTGCCAACTGTTTCTATTGGGGAATAGGGCCTTGGACTAATGGTTTTATTTCTTTTTTGAATTAACATGCATGGTGGCTAAGGTTGGTATTGCAATGGTAAATATGCCAACTTCAATCTGTTATGCTATCTGACACATATGTAGTACAGTGTTTCTGATAACTGATGCTATGTTTTGCAAAGTGTTGATCTGTTTCCATAAAAAAACTACTCACTACAAAAAATGACAGATGGTAGTCAAGTTTGTATTTCTATGAAGACCATTGGCCCATATGGATACAGAGAAGTTCATTCATATATGTAACCATGGTACAAAAGTTCATTCATTTCAACTCACATCATATTATTCCAGTATTTGCAAAACTTTGTCACTTTTCAGAACTTTGACAGAGATATTTACATAAGTTTCTCAGTAATCTTACATTGTTCGAAGACAGAAGCCTTCTATATTTATACATACTTAGGTTATAACACTACATTTTGGGCAGATAGAGGTGTCTTAGAAATGACATGCTAAAGTAAAATGATATTCATCTTCTATGCCTAGATTACAAAGAGGACATAAAGGTAAACTTGACCAATCCCCAACCATCTAGTACAAAGTTGTCCTGGTAACTGTTAAATAGTGACACAACTACTATGGAGAAAAAAACCAGGAAGCTGAAGGAGTTGATATCAAAATATGATGTGAAATTGATATAGGCAATATATATCAATTAAGACACAATGGACTTTCATCATTCTGTCATTGCGACATTTGTATACAGTGTCTGGTCCTTCTAATGCTTGTTGATAAAGGGGCTAGTAAGTAACTGTACTGAAATGAAGAATTGAAATATTGAAATATTTGATAGGTCAAATTCTGCAGTCTACCCGATCACAAGAAGTTTTGAATCCTTCAGGCAACTTTTGCTTTGATGTCTTTGATAGGTATTCACCTGATGGAGGGGCAAGAAGTAGCTCTGAAACGCCGTACAAAAAATAAAAGAAGTTGCTATCCTTAAAAAAGTGTCATGTATTCATTTTCCTTTGGTATGAAATAAGGAATGAATAATAATTTCATCTGATGAGGGCGTAAGCATATACTCCGAAACGTTGTGACTCCTCATAATAAAAAAGTTAACATCCATATATTCTCTTCCTTAATAATTTGTAGTGTTATACATTTAAAATGACGTCATTGTTTGTACCGACATTGACAGTTGTGATTCATAGTGATGTTGAAAATATCCTTTTCCTGTAATCACAAACTCATCTGTCAAACAGAATGAATACTCTGGTTGTTATTCATCCATAGTGCACACACCATCAAAACATTGGGTTGTTACACAGCTAACGTTGTCATTCAGTGTAAGAGATGTAAGCCACACTGAAATAAGATCTAAACCCAGGTTTTGTGGGAGACCGAACACGTGATGACATGAAGACAGCCAATGGATCTCTCTGTTGCAGATAGGTGTAAGGTGGTAGTTGGACAAGTGTTGTGTCAACCTCGTTTGGGTGGGCACCCTTAGACTGGCAGGACAACTTACAAGACTCCCCCAAAGGGCAGTTGCACGATCATCCCACTTGCTAGAGCATCGTGACCCGATCAAGCTGACCTTGTGCAGTCACATGACTTTGTAATGGCTTTATTGTATGTTTGAAAGCCACATAGTCAGTATTTTGGAAAGATAATGTGGACCCCATCCATTTTAATTTAAATTGTTTATATATTAAAAGTTTTGTCTTCTTTGATTTATCTTTCCCTAGGTAAACAGGAGAATTTTGTTTTTTTAAATGTTTGTTTCCTGAGAAATATATGTGGAAAAAAAATAAGTACTAATTTATTATTATACTTTATTGTCTTGAATTTAAACATTAATCAACATTTTGTGAAATGGTTTGAGTAACACTGTTTGGTTTAAAAGGATTTAAGCATGTGTTTTGTGGAAAAAGGCTTTGAACGTTTGTTGAAATTCAATTCATCAAAGCTTATAAAAACCCTGAATATGCTGTAAATTCATCACAGCTCAGATGTATTCAGGTCTCACCTGCAATGGTGTTTGTTAATATTGTGTTTACAAACTAAGCACTAACTAAGGGTGTGTAGTTACTGGTAGAGCCTGATATAGCTTTGTGTTAAATGAAGTGTTATTTGACTTGTTCATTTTGTTATAGAGATAGTAGTCATGGTTTGGGAAAAGGAAGCCTTCAATTTCCGGCTAGACTGGTAGCTTGAAAGCTAAGAATAGTTCAATTACAAAGGCCTGAGAAGGTTTCTTTTAGAGTTAAGCTTTGGTGTCTAGCCTAAAATAACATGATAAGTATTTTGTATGTGGTTAAGGATGAGTATTAACCCATCTCCCACCAATAAACAGAAAGCTTCAGAAATGTAGCAGACATAAGGTGGATCCGAGGGATTTGATGCACTAATCTAAATGTGCAGAAAATAATTACCCTTCCCTAATACTTGTCTCTTTTTTGGATAACCGTCCCACATTTTTTCCATGATTCACCCTGAAAAGACAGAATCCATTTATTTACCCCAAGTACGTGTAATATATTTTATGACCCTCCCCTAGAAACTGACATATTTTTTTTGGACCCTCAACCGATACCCTCTGACCCTGACCGGTCCTTAAACAAACTAGACTCCCCTCTTGTCATTGAATCGGGGGGGGGGGGGGGAGGAGTAAATGAAGATAATGCAATGAGTTGCACCTGCCCCTGACAGTTTCCCACGTACTTGGTAGAAAAGTGATAGTTGATTATGATTTGATCCCCCTTTTAATATCAAGTAACATATTCCTCTCAGTAGGTGTATGTATGTTCCACAGAGACATGTAGGAGATGAATAAAACAAATGATCTGCCAAGGATATTGCTCCTCCATGATCAATGAAATACACTAATTTCCTCTTATGTCCTCATAGGTTATCAAATAGAAAAGCTGCTGATAGAAAATTAATCCCTTAATGAAGATCAGGAATAAAAAATCCCCCAAAGTCCCTTAACTGCCACATACTGGACATACTGTCTTCATTTATGTTTTATCCCAAATGAACATGTTGATTTTCCTCAACCTCTGAGGATTTCAAAATGTCAAACATCATAAACACTAACTAGCACAAGCTGCACTGCAGGCAATGACATTACTGCAGTAGCATCGCTGCCCTCAGACCTCAGACAGAACACCGTATTTTAAACTTCCTTAGGATTAGTTGGAGTCAAATATTTTCAGCCTTTTCTGGATGTTGTCACAAAATGGGTAAATTGTTTGATAGGCAATTCTTGGAAGTTGAATGGATGACAAAGTAGACAATTTTTTTTCATAGATAACATCTTCTTTATTATGCTGTAATTGTGACACTTGGTTATAGATTCTTATACCGTTGTCAAGCAAGACTGAATAGGTAGACCTTGGTTTGTTTCTGTCACTGAGGAGGCATAGATGAGGAACATTATCAAACTCATACAGAGGCAAAAGCATCACCTTTATTCAGATACATGAGATTACCAGGTGATAAACTGCAAAGGACAATGAAGAACGAAGCTTGTTTTAATTCACGATAAAACATTGTTCTATGATGACGTCATTTCTGGAGATTCGACCATTGGTTCGCATCTTGATAACATGGTAATTTGGACGACGTTATTTTTTAGAGGGAAGTGTCTAGTGAGTTGCTCCCCATAGAAGCCAAGTATGTGACTTTTATGAGAAAAACCATGGAACCTCAAGGGACAGAGGAACAGGTCTATAACAGAGCTTCAGATTGATTTTAATTTTAATGTGTTAGGAGACAATTTACCAGCCAAAATAATGGTCCAGGTATCAGAAGTAAAGGGCACAGAGGGGTGGGGGATGTGACTTTTATTGCTAAAAAAGTGAAGGGTCTTCTGTTGTTTTTCTCTGGTGTCAATGACTAAATTTGAGACAAATTGTAAAAGCTGACTTTCTATTCTCTGGGAAGGAAAACAAATTTTCCTGAACAATGCAGAGGGAATTTAACGCCTTAACTCTTTGCTATAAGGAGGGCCATATCTCGCACATCCGTGGAATGCTATCGTGAGTTATGTTTTTCCTGCATGGACTGACTGTCACTGATGCTTGTGAAAAACAATCTCACGCATACTGCTGTAGCCTGACTGATGATTAGAATACCCACTATTATGGCTGTTGTTGAAGATAAGAGTCATCATATTCACTATGCGTTAAGACTCAAGCATTCCTTCAAAGAACAGGCAGAGAATGATTTCTGTTTCCATGGTTTGCAGGTGTTCGTCTGGACAGAGTCAGGGGTGGAAGACAGAAATACAAGAGAAGCTCCTCAGACAGTCATCCATTGATACAACAGATTATACCAGTGATTAAGAAGCCATGTCAAGATCGTAAGTTCGGCTTATATCAGAACTTGGAATTCAGTTTGTTTCATAAAAATATTAAGGTGTAAAATTCTTGGCACAGTTTGAGACATCACCCACTTGTCCGAAGCTTGAGTCTTGTAAAATCCAACTCGATCTATTAAACTAAGCTGTTAATAGTCTATACAATAACACTAAAGTCTACTGAAAATAAGGCTGAAATAAGTTTGGGCAAGTAGTCTCAAAACATTTAGACACAGATTCTTGATGTACGTTAAATGATTTTTGCGTAACTTTTGATATAACAGAAAAAATTTAATGTTATCAAGGATTAATTTTTGTAGGATGTCAGTTGTTTTGTTGGCCTCTAGAATTCCACCAGCTTGAAAGCCCTGAGGTCCTATTTCGTTCATTCATCATTAATCGTAATACCCCACTTAGCAGAATTTTTAAATGAAAACATTTGTCATACTGTTAGTGTTCTATAAAGTCATGCACATTTTTTTCCTTTACAGCCATCACAACTCCCGATTTTAAGATTCTCAACACACTTCTAGCATTGGAAACCCAGTTAGACAAATTGTATGCTACGCCAGATCCCAACCAACCCGACGATGAAGTCAAGTTCATGGCTGCTGTATCCGACCTTGCTGACAGAGAGCTGGTTATCACCATCAGCTGGGCAAAACAGGTGCCAGGTGAGCTTCAGCCAACCTACTTTTTATGAACTATGACTGTCCACTTGACCCACTTACATTTCACTTGTTTTTGTTGTCTGAATGAATGAATGAATGAATGAATGAATTTGCAAACTGTTATTGATAACAAATATTTTATCAGGTGAGATTCAGTCTTTGTGTGGAATATTTGTATGGCCTTTAGAGGTGGATAAGGAAGATCACGATGCACAACCTGAACCGTAATAGATAGTTACACAATTGCTCACTTCCCGTATGAGGTGGATGCAAGTCTACTTTATTATTGTCTTTGTGGTCAGCTTATACTCCATGCTGATGCCTGGCCAAGGTGATCCCTGCTGCTCTTCCATGACAGCTTCAGAATACTATCTGAAACATTGTGAAATTATTGTTCACTAGTTTATTTGGTAAAAAGTTTTATGGAGACAATTATTAGTTGACAATTATTTCCAACGATGACAGTAGAGCTGAAACAATTACTGTAGCATTTTTAATTTACCTAGTAATGACAATATGATATTGTATCATATCAATTCAGTATTTGATTAAAAATAATAGGAAGTATTCATTTTAAAAGTTAGAATGACCTATTCTTTGTGTTTGATTTATAACAGATGTAATCTGTTATCAAATCTTTGTCAAAGACAAATGAAGACTTTTCCAAATTTGACACATCAGTGACAAAAATGGTGTCTAATGCAAAAATTCCTTATTTTGACTTGTACTGTATGTTCCTGTGGATTTTTTTCAGGTGAACAATTGACTTGCCTTTGCATGTGTTTTTAAACATCAGTTTCATTATCCCAGTGAGGCTTTGTACATACAATAATCAGGGTGGTGGGGGTAGTGTAGTGATGAAAGTGTATGCTTGTCAAGCCGAAGGCCCAGGTTAGGTTTGATTATCCACATAGGTATGACCAGTGAAGCCAATATTTGGTGTCCCCTGCCGTGATATTGCTGGAATATTTCCTAAATTGGCGTAAAACCATACTCACTCACAACCATGAGGGTAGGTACTTATATACAACCATGAGGTTCTGTCACCATGAGATTCACTTCAGCTGATATACCGAGTGTCCTGACATACAAGAGCTGATGACGTGTTGTGTGGGTGGTCTTCGGGAAGTAGCAGATGTCACCACTGCTGTCACAGTTCTCTGGCCACATGTGGAAGACAATTTGCTGTCAGTGTTTAACTGTGTAATCATATTCCAAATTATAAATTATGATCAGTTATATAAACATGGTCCTGTACCATCTGTGACAGAAGCTTTTCAGTTTCCTGTTTAGTATTTCTCAATGCCTTCATTTAATTACAGTTATGTGTAGATTGCTCTAGGCTGTTAAATACCTACAGTACTGTAATTACATTTTGGGCTGATGTTTAAGGGTGCAAATTCATTACCTTGATCTATATCTCATTTTGAGTTAAATTACTTTCATGCATCGTTACCCCCATCATGTGGGGGGCATTGGATGCCAGAGTGGCCCAGTCGTCTAAGGCACCAAAATTCGCTGTGCTGAGATGCATCCCATTGGCATGCCAGAAACGTAACGTTGTGGATTTGAATCCCGGTTTGCCTGATTATGTTTCTAGGTTTGTCAGCACCATGCCCGTGCTCGTGGGTTTTAATGAAGTGGTAAGGGTCTCTGACCTGCATCACTTTGGGCCTTCCTCCCACATTTCAAAGCGGCATTATACCTGGGAAGATCAGGTTAGCATAGGTCTGGAGCAACCCATACTTGTCATAAAAGGTGACTATGCTTGTCATAAGAGGCGGCTAACTGGATCCGGTGGTCAGGCTCGCTGACTTGGTTGATGCATGTCATCGTGTCCTAATTGCTCAGATCGATGCTCATGATCTCAATCACTGGATAGTCTGGTCCTGACCTAATTATTTTGAGACTGCCGTCATGTAGCTTGCATATTGCTGAGTGCGGCGTTAAACAACAAACAACAAAAGTGGCATTAAACCCAAATCACTCACTCACTCTTATGCATGAGGTCTATGTATATGTGTTCAAATCCCTGATTAACTCTTGGTATTGTCCTTGTTTCGTGGATTGCCTTTGTTGTCTATTGGAAAGAGTGTCTGCGCGGAGTGCGGAAGGTCATTGGTTCAATTCCCCTGGGAGGCGGTCGGGTAGCCTAGTGGTTAAAGGGTTTGCTCGTCATGCCGAAAGACCCAGGGTTCTATTCCCGACATGGGTACATTTAAGGTGTCCACTGGAATATTGCTAAAAGTGGCCTTAAACTATACTCACTCACTCACTCACTCACTCACTCACTCACTCACTTCCCCTGGCTGCGTCATACCAAGGGGCACATTAATAGGGTACCTGTTACCCTATGGTGCTCAGAGTTAAGGGTATCAAACAAGGACTGGTCTGTTGCAGTCAGTATTCTCTGTCTGTATAGATATCCTTGTTATGCTGTGTCATGTTATCTGGCTATGCGATACAGCTGTCATGATGCTTACTTTCTGTCCCGACCAACATGTTTCCAGCAGAAATAACTACCACATCAAGAGTAATTAATTCATTTCCTAATTATTTTCTCATTCTATCTATTCAGTCAATGGTTGTGATAAGTAATGTAGGTAATCAGTTCCCCTATGATTAAGTAAATAAGGATGTTTTAGGTTCATTACAAGCTCTAGTGTAATCGAAAATGGTTTTTAGTATGCTTCAGTGAACACAATAGCAGCTGAGGCCTTGTGGATGCAGCTGTCAGGATAACACAACCTCAGTCATAGAAACAGTTCCCAGAAAAATATGGTCATTTTTGTATACAAGTATTATTAGAATAATGATGCCACAATTGTCAAAATATATTCAAACAGATGTTTCATAATGTTATTTAATTAGTTTATATTTATACATGATCTTTAATGTCTTGTCATGTTTATATATGTTGTGCTGGTATGTCAGTAATTTTCATATAGATTTTTATGGAAATATTCCATTTCCAGCAGATAGCTGGGAGAAATGCTTCTTGGCAGGCAACATGCCTGAAAACCATTCCTAATGGTGCAATGATTATCTGATGGCTTCTAATGAGTTGGACGAAGTCAGTTGTCCTGATTACATTATGATGGCGGGCCTGATTAGGTTTACAATCAATGCTTGATGGTATTTACATAGTGTATCATGTTGGTGTGCATGGGTTCGGGGTTGTCTAACAACATGCTTTTATTAACCACTGATATTGTGATGGAGCATTTATGTCATTGCTAATTATGTTGGACTAATTTGTAGGTGGCCTTTCGTAATTTGATCGCCTGTTGGAGCTGTGAGTTCCCAAGACGTGAAACTGTACAAGAATTTGATAGTCAATTAGTGCCAGGTGAATTAGAATGGATGGGCTAGGAGGACTGGTTAGCGCTCTGTCGAACGGAAACAGGTGGTGATGACAGCCTCCATGAAAAAAAAATTGATTTGCATTAATTAGATTGTTGTTGTGAGAGAAAGATAGCAAGGCAAAGTTTGTTTCAAAATGATGTGGTATTTTCACAGTGAGTTCAAAAAGTGCATTCACGACAGATGAATTGACTAATGATGCAAAATATGACCCTTATTTAGCAGAGCATTAATTGAGAATCTTTGGTGAAGCACTTGGATAGATGGCGTGTTTATGTTCTGGCAGTAGGGTATTTACTAGAGGTCTTAGGTTGTAATGTTCCTGGCTCTGAGTAATGAATAATTAGGAAACATAAACAAGGGTTAGAGAATAGCTTGGGGAATCGCATGTTATTGTATCTGTTCACAGTACATGCTTTTTGTTTTTTAAGAGACAATGTTTTTGTTGTCTTTAATGATAAGGAACATAGTAAAGTGGCGTGGATGCTTAGCAGATGATGAGTTTGATGAGACATATTCTCCAGATGAATTAGATATCAAAATTCTTACTGCGGTGAGCGAGTCCATCTGGCCGAGGAGCACAGCCCTCACTTCCTGGATGTACATGTGCCATGGATCTCAGCTCTGACGTTTCAGGGAATTTTCAGTTGGAACCTTGCCCACCACCTGGGTCACAAGAACTCACTCCAGTCTAATATGCCTTAAAGAAATGGGTTTTTTTCAGGCATTTTCATTCAATCTAAATCAAATAATAACTTAATTCAGAAATATGTGCTGCTAAAAAAATCATAATTTTTGAATGTTGAAGACATGTTGGAAGTTTGAAATACACATTAACACACTGGTTGAAGTTGAGCAGTACCGCTCCACCATGTGTTGTCCTACATCCATTTGTCCCTGTTCCTGTAATCTAGATAATGCAATAATGGTTCTGTTTCCTGGTGCTGGAGGAGAGTCATGAATTTATCATTTTGTTTTTTCTGATGATTCTCTGCGACAAAACAGGATGTCAGCCATGTAAAATGATTGATTGATATTACGCTTCCTATTCATGTCTTCCAGCAGCTTGTTAATACAGACAGACGACTTGGATATTGATATGCAGTGTTGATATGTGACGGGGAAAAAGCCTGCAAGGTTCTGTTTGTTATGTGCATATGATATGAGCTGTAGGAAAGAGTTTGAAACATGCATAGTCCCTTCCTCTTGCAATGTTTGAGTGTCAGTCATGTGCTTTTATGGTGATTTGAACTTTTCTTGAAAGAGCATACAAACTTGGATAATTGTGGATGTGATATTATTTTTTCAATTTCTGCTTTATGTGTCACCTGTCGTTCTTCACAGATGAAACTCTTTCCTTCCACTGGCGCTTGTCTGAAATGAATAAGGGAAATGAATATTCATTAGGTCGTACTGATGTTTTTAATATGTTAACATTTATGATGTTTTTCTACTCTCCAGACTTGTGTCATATCACTTGTGTGGCATAGGCTTCAGGGATTCAGTTTTGAAAGGTGCATTTGTTATTCCTGCAATTTTCTGTCTTTTTATTATCCTTACAAGGATTTAAGTGGGTATCAGATGGACCCAATGGCTGCAGAGAGTGAATGTAGCATGACTGCATTCAGTCATGGTTTAGCTGCTTAATGCTAGTAATGACAAACTAGGTCATGAGTGAGTGAGTGAATATTTAAAGTCATGAAATAGGAAAATGGTAGAACAGAATCTCAGTCAATTTGTCAATCATATCATTATGATTTAACTAATGATCACTGTCATTAAAACCTCACTCATTCGAGTAGACAGTTCTCTTGAAAATACCTTATATGGAAGACACATACCTGACTATGTGAAACGTGAAGACATGCGTGCATCAGAACACAGCTCTAACTGAACATGCCCCAGGCCATCTTATCTTCCAGCAACCCTTGAACTTTAACAACTGGGCAGACAGGTTAAGACAATAATGTGTGTATCTCAAGTACTCAATTCATATCATTCTTATCATGTTGAGATCCCTACCAAGGAAGGATGAGGATTGTTCATGTGCAAGTTCAGAGCCGGATGCCCCGCTGTAGTAAACTATCTCTCATAGGTCCCTGATGGGATCCTTCTTGACCTATGCACAGGACAGTTCAGTGATAAGTCCCGAATGAAGTGTTGGAACTGTTAAATGATGAGAATATGTCTGCCATATGTGAAAAATGTGTCAAATAGCTTTGTACTGCTATACTGACGTTGTTGTCTGTAGGAAGCCATATTGTCCTTAATTGCTGTTTTGATCGATGGTTCTTTCTCGCAGCTGATAGAAATGTATTGATAGGGATTGATTGTCAATAAAAAATGGAAATTATTTGCTTAGGGGAGGGTATGACAGTTCTATCAGGGCTATTACGTAACACATTTCCCCTAATGAACAAATTGGCATATAGAAGCCAGGGTTTCATGGGACTTGTACAATCCAATTTGTTGTCAATATGAATCAGTTGCAAATATGGTTATTGGGATTGCTCAGTGATCGGGCTAAATGAATGAGGTCCCATGATATACGGAAGGTAATAGACGTGGCCCTACCGTACCCTACAGCTATGATCCTTGTTTATAACTGACAAATCCTGTTTTTGTGTAAATTACTAGTAATACATACAAAATGTGTAAAAAGTATTTCTGTCCTGTTATGTCTTTGGACACAGACCAATTTCTGCACAGGCAATTCTATCAGCAGTTCTGTAAGAAAGTGAGAATCTGGAGGAAAGGCTGCATGTTTACATTCCTGTTCATTTTGTTTCAGCATGCTGTGTCAAAAGTGCATTATCTGACATTACTTTACTTAAGAATGTATGCTAGGAGTATTAGATACAGGTTTCTACGTGCGAGTGACATTAGTTATATTAGTGTTCGGTTTGGATCAAAGTCTTTCATGGGTAGATACAAAATACCAGATCCAACCAGTCCACAATTGATTCCAGACAAGTTTTAAGTAACATAACTACATTTTGAGGAATATACCTGGCTTATGGCCCCCTCCTTCATCGGTAGAAATTAACCAGAAATGTTTACTAATATGAATAGTGATAAAATGTAAGGACACCTCCAAAATCTTGAAGTTGTACCATTCCCCCTGATTACTTTTTACGTTAGGGAGCGGTCAGGTAGCCCAGTGGTTAATGCATTCGCTTGTAACGCCGAAGACCCGGGTTTGATTCTCGACATGGGTACGATGTGTGAAGCCCATTGCTGGTGTCCCCCGCCATGATATTGCTGGAATATTGCTAAAGGCGGCGTAAAACCATTCTCACTGACTCACTTTTTATGTTAGAGCAACTGACACCGGCGTAAAAGTGCCAATTTATGTCTCTATTTCGTACTTGTCCTGACCCTTTCTATGTTTTATTGCAGGTTTCACCAACCTCTCCTTACAGGACCAGATGAACCTCCTGCAGCACTCCTGGCTGGAGATCCTGTGTCTCAACCTAGTGTTCAGGTCTTGTCCTTACAATGGTTCACTCAGCTTTGCAGAGGACCTCAAGGTGTCCCATGAACTAGCGAAAACTTACAATGTACCCACAGAGTTTGATTCTCTTACAAGGAAACTGTGCAAGAAGTTTACATATCTTGGTGTGAGCAAAGAGGAATATGTGCTTCTGAAGGCGATCACTCTATGCAACATAGGTAAGTGAAGTTAAATAATATAGTTGTCTCCCCATTTCTTTAAATTCAGGCCAGGATGAGTTCCTTTTGCCTTTGATGTAAAAGGTGACGGATATAGGAATCAGTTGGCTGCTCAGTAAGCAATAAAATGATATGGTCACTGACTAGGAACCATCGAGACCAGGTTGAGTTCATGTTAACTGCCCAGATGGTGGATTTGAATACTTTCACTAAGCAGCCATTATAAGAGTACTGATAAGGGCATAAAGCTCCCATCTTTTCACTCATTCAGTATGGTTTGTCTGTCTGTTAAAAACTTTATCAGGTCCTGGGTCCTCAAGGTTAAAGACTATAGTACTTTATACTAAAGACCCTCAGACATGTGTCATGTTTAGCATTAGCACTATGTCAAGATTTCCTTGACTGTCATCATTAATTTTGGACATGCTGAGACAGTATTGTTTTCGAAAATGATGTGTTAAGCTGTTATTAACTAGACTGTTTCCCCAGCAGATGTGGTGGCAGAGGTAACAGATTCAGTTCAGACTCTGCAGGAAAAGCTTCAGGACTCGCTCATGGAGATCATAAAGATCCGACATGCTGGCAACATGCGCCGTTTGGGACAGCTGTTTCTGCTCCTACCCCCTATAACACACATCAAACTGCTGGCCAAGCAGTTCTGGTTTGACATGAAGAAAGATGGACGTGTCATCATGCACAAACTTTTCTTAGAAATGCTGGAGGCAGATTCCTGAGGAAAGTGTTCTGGCCAACTTGTGGGGCCATTCATAATTTCTACAGCATCTAGGGAATATGTCATCTTGAGGTAGCCTGCTAGATAGGACATTGAGGAGGATTACCTGCTTGTAGGCTCATGAACAAGGAACGGGATGAGCACATTCTCTTTGTATACTGTGTGATATTCACTCATGGAATCTACAAGTAACCACTGGTAAAGTTAAGGGATTGTGTGTAACCATATGAAAGGTATCAGGTTGTAAACTAGAAAAGGATCTTGTTTGTGTTGTCTGTGTTAAAACAAGATCACTGTACTCAGAAGGATTACTATGGATATAGAAGTATTGGACTACCAGCTATGTCCAAGCATCAGTGATAATGTATATATCTGTGTGTGTGTCCATGTGACCCCTTCCAATTCCATTCCTGTCATGCAACAGTAGTGCTTCCCGCAGCAGTGGCTGTAGGCAGAGAGGTAGAGCAAACCACAATCAAATAAAGCAGTCTGCTCCTGCACAGACTGGACATCTGGTTCTTCACAGGCGAAACATCTGGTTCTGCAGAGATAGACGTCTGCTCCTGCATTGACTAGATGTCTGGTTCTGCCTGGGCTTGATGTCTGTCTCTGCACATGCTGGATGTCTGTATCTGCACGTTCTAGATTCAGACTAAGCAGACAGAGACCAGGTAGGCAAAAGTGTGGTCAGGTGGATTACATATCATCCCAATCACAAACTGGTCAGATGGGCAAACTCATTCAACCTCAACCAAATGGCATCTCATCCAATGGGTGATGCAGCTAAATGGCATGAGATGGTTCTTGTACCTTGAACATGTACAACATCTATGCAGAAATCACAGGACAATGTACTCATGCATGTTAGCAGTTTGGAGCAGGACATTTCTGAGATTATCTTCCATCATCGTGTTGGTAGGGCCGACCTTGGCTCCTGTCCTTGGGTGTCCTAGAACTGACCTCATCGTCATCACCAACCAGCTCCAACACCAAAGTTCTTGTATGGCATTAAAGCTACCCTGAACAATCAAGCCAAAGTTAACCATATCAAATATATTGTTGTGAATCTATCATCATGAATTATCTATGGATTGGGCAGACAGCAAGGGAATGGTCATTGTTTGGTGTTAAAGCTTGGAGACACTGACTCAGGTTGAATGTGTTCCCACAAAGGCAGCACTCATGGTATCTCTGTTCATCATAAATTTTGGTGTCAGATGTGCAGTTTACGCCACCGTAGAGATGCCAGTGACACAGTCCTTGCTATGTTGGTTTTCTTCTGCCTTGGCTTTATTACATGATCATGAAGTGTTTTTATAGTCACTATTTCTGGGCCAGTCAACTGAGGATCATCTCTATTTTGATAATGTCTGTGGTGTTGTATAAGTACCATATCCAATGTTTAAAAGTGCCTTGGTCACACGTAACACTGATTTTTTTCAAAATACCAAATTCGGATTGCACAAGGGGACAAGTTTCATCAAAAATGCATGTCACCTTTGAACTGTACTTTCTCTAATGTTTGTGTAAATCGTGTAATTATGTTCTGACAATTCTTTTATTATGTCCAGTGGGACTAGACCTCCCCAGGCAATGTTCAAATTGCAAATTCAGGCACTGATTGCATTGAATATGGTAATTATCAAAGAGAGAGAAGTAATTAAGAACCTGCTAAAAGAGTGTTACAAATTCAAACTGTGGCATTTAGTGGACGAGTGGCTATATTTTTAGAAGCCATGTTTTAATTGTGTTAGCTTTTGAGTTTTATGGATTTGTTCAATCAGGTGTGTAAGATATGCAAAAGGAAAAAAGGTTTCTTCTCTTTGAAGATTTTACTTTGAAAATTGTGTCACTGCCTAACCTTGCCAAGTCAGACTGCATTTGAGGGAATTTACATCTTTCACCCTCTAGACGAAAGTTGCGGAACAGCAGTTATACATGCATTTGAACTGTTAGTGGCTAGCATGCCAAAGTGTGCTGTTTTTAATCAAACTTCCCCATAACTGATAGTCATCTAGGACCAGCTGTTGATTCCAGTGTTAGACGACATGTTACTGCATTTTATTTCTAGTTTTGGTACCTTGTTGTAGTTAATGTTGTTAATAGTTGATGACAAATGTTATGACACTTGTTAATCTTTCCAGTGGGTTACCACCTTCTCATTAAGTGTTTTTTTTTATGTATTTTATTATGTTTTGTGTTGTGTGCTAGTGTGCTAGTGTGTGTGTGTGTGTACTAGGAACAAGATTAATATGTATAGTGCATGTCGTGAGGCTGATAGAGGTGCCTAAAGTGACTATTACTTACATGTTGGAGTTAAGTATTGATGTTTCTGAAAAAGTTAAGACAATGATGGATTTCAACTTGGATTTTCATCACTGAAAACAAAATGATGTCCAAGAATGATTGACGTTTTTCCAAATGTAATTATCTGCAATTTTACTGATACAAATTTAAGATGGAAAAAATCATGAAATTAGAACATGAAGTCTATACTGCTCATTTTTGTTTGTACAACTTTAACATAGTCGCCAGCCATCAATAGTTATAGCCAGGTTTACATTGAAGCATGTCTGTTTTGTTCTGACTTTGCAAATCTGAACAGTTGACTTCGGAGTGTTTGTCCTAATATGAGGACAGGCCTTGTCTTACAGAGGACAGGTTTAACCACCAGAGGACAGGATGGTTAAGAGAGGATGAGATGCACCGTCAACTGGATTCAGGATTCTGGAAACTACTGTGTTGCCTGATTCCAGAGATGATGTGTAATCTGTGTCTGAAGATGTTACTTTAAGTGTCCTTTACCTTGAGTTGCTCCTACTCTGTTCGTTTGGATCAAGCGGCTCTGCTTGTCGCCAGGGACAATGCTTGCCGACTTCGACAACTTGGATTCCAGCTGCTTGTGATCATTGGTTTCTTCAAACTGTACTTTGTTACCAAAGACTCACAGATCTTGACAAGTATGCAACATCTAGGAATCCCTATCCAAGAACAGAAGTCAACATGAAGTTTACTAGACATTGATTTTGTATGCTTTTATGACATTGTTATGTTGAACTGTGTGATAGAGCAACGACGTGATAAGGAAATCGATGCAAATTTTGTCACTTATTCCCATCAAATGGGAACTGTTTGTTTCACCTGTCAGTAGTGTACCTTTAGGCAACTATAGACATCAATGTTATAGCATTCTGACTAGTGTGTGAATTACAGAGGCCTTTGATAAGGATTGATGGACTTGTTACAGGTGCACCATAGACAGAGTCCAAGATACTCCTTGTATCTGAGGAATCGGTGTATGTGTGATTGTGATTCTGTCCTTGTTATGCCCTGATTGAATGTGAGTGTCTTCAGAGTGCACCTTAGACAGGTAGCATCAGTGTTGCCTGGTCCACTAACAAAGTCCTATTGAAATGTTGAAGTTTAAGCATGTATCCTACAGTTATCTCTTGCAATCTCAGTATTGTCGCATTCCTCCCCCTCCCACACCCACAACCACCACCCACTCCCAACCGTCCAACACACTGAATGTCCTGAAACAATGTCCTAAATTTTTTTTGTGTGCATTTTCTAGAATCTGCTCATTCATAGTCAGTCTTCTTTCGTTGTCTCTTATCCTGTGATTGATCACAAGCAGTAGAAACAGAAGCAAGGAGACAGCAATTGCCCTACCGATCTTGTAGTGAATCCACGTTTGCTCGCAGTATGTCACTCTATTTCCTGTAGACACCTGCAAGACAAATTTGTATTGTTCAAGAGTGGAACATATCTGGAAAATTGTTTCAGGCAAATAGAAGGGAAAGAAACTGATTAAGAGATTCAGTCTTGTCATTATGCCCATGGTTAAAAGGTTCCTAACATATCCATCACCATTTATTTCAAGTTAGAGAATTTCAAGCCGCCTTGGTTCAAAACATCCTGCATTCATTCTTGATCAGTTTAAAGGCAGCAACCATTCTTATCCTATTCTGTTTGTCACATTGTCACCGTTTCAGTTTACTGTTCCAACTTTTGTCCACATTTTGTTTGGCAACTGTCATGCTGTAAGAGTTTGTGTTGAACATGTCGAAAGGTTCATTGTCATCGTCATAGTAGACAGAAAAATGAAAGCGAACTAAACAATGCAAAAAGAATCCTCTTGTCCTGTGACCTCTGTTACGTTGTGTCTGGTGCGTTTCTATACATTTCTGTGTGGGCTTGACCACTTGACACTTTCCCTATGTTAATCATGTCAAACCATGGTCACATGATCGTCTTGGTCATGTTATCATGTCGGTATTCTTGTTAGATAGTCCAAAAGATCGAGAGCATATCACTACACCCTGTTTCATTGCTGACACAAGCTACCATCAAGTTTCATTTACGCATACATGTACCCTCCCATTATTGTAGAAAGTGTAGCTGTGATGGGGAGTGTATCCCTATCCTGGAAGATGTGTAAAGTAATTCAGTACCCATAGACTCACAGAGAAGCAGCTTAGCCACCCAAGATGCATACACACATACTGTAGACCTGTAGCAACAAGCTCTGCTTGTCCTGCTCGGGGTAGATTCTCAGATGAGTACATGAAACATTCCTGACTTTATTGATATTTTCAGCCTCTCAGTCTCCTTTGCCCTGGTAGTGTTGGGCGTAGGCGACTGGGAACCAAACCAAGTATTTATTGCATAAACGTGTTGGTGTTTGGAGTTACCCACTTTGTGATATTTTCAGGTTGCCATCGTTAGATATAAGATGGCTGACTGTTGGAGTGTTATATTGTATTAGAGTGTCATATTTATCAGGTATGCAAACAAGAGTTTATGTATCATGTCATAATCCCATCAGTGCCCAGCACCTTTGTCAAAGATTTCACTTCGGTTCTGCTGGAAGGATGAATTTCATTTTACCAGGTGTTTAAGATGGTAAAGAAGGGTCAGGTGGTTTCATGTCGTAAATTATGTCCCAAATATTTATTGTGCTAAAATATGAACTAAACATTCAGCGACTGCGGAATTGATCATTGAAGATGGAGTCGTTGAACCATGACTGATAGCTGTTGGTGCTGTGCACTGATGCTCATACACATTACCCAGTTCCCAAGTTTCATAGGGTTCCTTTATTTTTGTATACACACCAGAGTTGGAATACACTATGTCACAGAGTTTATTGTTCATATCCAAACAAGAGTCTTTTCAGTTGTCCATATGAACTTGTAAACCAGATTACTGTTTTTGTTGCATTTATGTTACTAGAATTCAGGCCTATTCCAGGCCCAAATCTCTTTGCTTTCTGCTTTCCTAGATCACTCCCAGCTTTGGCATGTGCCAGACAACGAGCAACTGCTAGGTCTGCTTTCAAGATCTTTGGAGATCCTAAGTTTTCTGAGTGGAATATGTTGTCTGCTTTGAGTTCATTAGTATGTCTTCTCACCTACCAAACTGAATGTTGGAAAGAAACGAAAATCGATCATGTGTTTTGATATTGATGATGTCTTTGTTATTGGAATGCTTGACAACATTGTCCAATCGTTGAAAGTAAGAAGATCTAAGCAGTTGCATAGTGATTATTGATTATTACGTATTGTATATTAAGACCCCAATTATAAACACATATTATATATATATATGCATGCTTCTTCTCCCTTTGACCCCTCAATGGTAGTATTTGCTTGTTTTGATTTGCTAACATGTACAACATGACTTATTTCCTTCTACTTACGTATATCACATACCTTTGGAAATATTCAGTTTCTGTCCTGTAGACAAATATTTACCACATTTACAACTAATTAGGTAATGTGCTATGGAATTGTCAGAATTTGAGTGGATAAGTTTGTTTTATAAAAATTATTTTTATTTTTGCTCCACTTTGTTTGTGTCTGGAGTTTTTTTCTAGCAAAGTGTGTTTACATTACTCAGTGTTAATCCTTTCAGATAGTAGGGTTTTATTACTTGTACACAATGTTATATTGTTATGTAAGATTTTCGCTATGTAATGAAGTGATTGATTTTATAGATTTGAAAGAGTTACTTTTTGAAAGCTTTTAGATAGAAATATTAACTGTTGGTTTTATTTTTGATGTTATTTTCCAAGCCAATTGTCACTGAATTCTTGTAAGAATGTGGCCTTAGAAGGCCAATATGTTTGTCATGTTGATGTACGATGTTTTGACAATCAGCATGAACTTACAATTATTTCACCTTGGCTTTCTTCTCCAAAATAGTCTTAGCATTATAATCATCATATCTTGTGGTGGTGCTACGATAACCTTGGGGAACAAGGCCCGGTTTGGTAATTGTTTGCAGTCAAGTTTACATGATGTTGCCAAGACCACAAATATATGACAGACTTAGTCCAGCAGTTACTAGTGGTTTGATACATCTGTGAGGACTATTTACATATCATCCAGTTAAGTCCCCATTCTTACTTGAGTTGTCACGGTGATCAACCTTGTGATGCCTAATATGAGTAGAATCAGGTCCCCATCAGAGGAGTCGGGAATTTGACCCTTTCTGCTGGGCCCAACTCTAGAAGTCAGGATCTGAAAGAAAATAACTCGGAAACCTCAAATCTAAAGGCTGTGATGTTAATATTGCCTTTTTCTCTCCCTTTTTTGAACAAGCAAACATGACTCAAAATTGCACATTGTATTCTTTGATAGTTTCCAATCCTTGAGAATGCTTTTCTGAAAATCTATTGTACTCTCAACTCTGGAAAGTCATACCACATTGAGCTATTTTGCAAACCTCATAGGGACTTATGCAGTGTTCTCACTATCAATGTTAGAAGCACATTTCCATGATGAGATTTATGATGATGCAGCATTATCCAGTTTCTTTGATCCACATTCTAATTTCCTGATCTGAAAGACAAGGACATTGTTATAAAGTGCTGTTTATTGATTAGTGGTATAGACATGCCTTCATTCAGCGGTATCAGTTTTCAACATGATGTCAAGAGACCCTTAAGTTTTATCAGTGTTGGGCTTAATGAACCATTGTCTGAAAACTACATAAGTGTTTATCATACATTAATTTAATTTTTTGCAAAGGAGTCATTTGCTCTCGGACCTAATTTTATTTCCTCTTTGAACTGAAAATAATTTTTAGTTGTTTTTTTATAGTATAATTGGTGAGAACACTGGGTATTTACATTAATTCCTATCATAAAAGTATCATTAGCTAGTATTCCACCCTTGGTAGTGATGAAAAGTGGACAAAGTAGGATGGAGCTATGAATGATTTCATTGGCTCTTGGGAACTACCTTGTTGAAACTGTATGGAACTGAACTTCACATCATCTGATATCATTGGGAGGGAAGGGAACTCAAATTGATCTCGATATGTTATGTTTATTTATTTTTGTAGGCCAGTTAAGGCCAGATGTTTTATACCTTGTGCACCATGACAAATGACCTTCCCAGATTGCCGCCGGGTACCATGATAGTTTAACTCAGTTTAAACGATATTTTCACGATCACAAAATACGCTTGCAATCCTTTGATAGGAACGAATCTCGTAGCCAAGTAATTTGTGACCGGTTGAATTTGTCACGGCGCTCCTACGGCAATCTGGAAAGGTATTGTTTGGTGTCTGAAGCAATACTCATGACCTCATATCTCCACTCTACTTTGTCCGTCAATGTCCGACTCCTCTGATGTGTTCAGTATAAAGCTGCAACCGTGTCTTGTGCCTTCTGTCTGTCTCTGGCCCAGCCCGCCATTTCTTGTGCCATCCCGTCTGTCACGTAGGTAACTCAGCCCAGAAGGCTAGCGTTTCCAGAGCCTGTTAGGCTCTCACAGTCTTGTTTAACCCAGGCAAAGAATCACACCCTGCCTGCGCTAAGCAAGACCTTTATAGCCTAATCAGGTCCAAGGCTGGACTAACAAGGCTCCCGTCAGACTCCACCACCAGCGAGTCCTGACAGAATCACTGAGGTGCCTCACAGCCCTCAGGGATAAACGACTCAGCCACGTCCTGAAGGTTTATCACATTTGCAGTCTTATTTTAGATGTTGATTTCTCTTGTTGATATATTTATCGGATGTTTTTTTTAAGGAGATGCCAGGTTTGTTGAGTGTATATAGCAATAAAAGGATGAAATTTATTAAGCTTGTTTTTCATTTGTATCCATTGATTTATTTGCTCTTGTGTAAGTTTTGATAATGGTAATGCCTCAGTGTTACGTTATCATCACAGAGTTCCCGAGAGCATGGACATTGAGGAACAACATTGACATTGACAACACGATAATGTCCAATTGCTCAGAGATGTAAGAGGCAGTTCTACATCAATTTGAATAATTAAGTATTTGTTACATGTACTGAAGACGTTTGTTTTCCTCCAGTGCTCATTTCGGAGAGCTAAATATCCTTTCGCTGGGACACTCTCATCAGCAGTGAGTCGTTACTGTAATTATGTCATGTCCATCAGGACATAATTCCAGGAAGCCATTAAAGCAGGCCTTAACCGAATATTCTATTAAATCGGTACAGGACGTCCTGATACATTATTTATCATCGTCAAGCAGACATCAAGTCCTGGTTCGAGGTACAGGCACGCCATGCCCCACAGCAACCAGTTCTCTGCCTATGAAGGCAACATTAAGGTTGGGAAATAACCTGACGAACATGTACCATGCAGGTTTTATGGTCAATTATCTGTTGTGGTAGCCTGAGCAGCCCATCAATATAAACTGACTGCAGTTTTCTTGCCAGGCACGAAGACATCGACCTTGTATCGATCGTCAGCTTTCGCCGTGATTACGCCCTCGGCTGCTCTGGCCCTTTGCTGATGAACCCCTGGGATCGATGACGCTGTGTGCTGGGTCGCTTCAACCATGTAGGTGTATTTGTCTACTTGTGAGTGGGAGGCATGAAACAATTGTATTAAATTGACAATCGACACGCTCTTTAAGCTTCGTTTACTATAATTAGCATAGAAACTTTTACAAGAATATTGATCTTGTCAAAAATACTATAGGATTTTTAAGGTCTTGACGTAGACGCGGCTGGCTTTCGAATTAGGCCCACGACCAGCCACGAGGCAATGCTCTCCTGATTATATTGCTCTCAAGATTCTAGCATTAGATTTGAAAGCAACTTGATTGCATTATTGGTAACTGGTTTCCATGAATGCGGGTCGGTTTGAAGTAGGGACCGTTAAGATTATCTTCCAACAATGTTTGTATTGTGTAAATCGTCACCCACTGAGCAAATGCTGACTGCTATGGTAAACAATACAAGTCGATTCCAGTGATAAAAAAAACCAGGTTCTTGTTCGGGGCATCAAGTTTAGTGGTGCTTTCTTCCGAACGAATTATTTCTCCTTTGAGTTTGCAGTTTTAAATAGTTTTTATTTCCCAGAATTTCGAGATCTCTTCGGTACCAAAAGGTTTAACTACATAAACATGTCCCAAAGCCTAAGAAGACATCAAAGGACGGGGTGGACGTCTGGCAAGGTTGTTACAAACTGCTACTGATGGAGACGGATTGTATCGGAATCCAAGCTGATGTATATCATTGTAGGTAGTCTGTTGAGTGTTAAGCGTCTGAAGAATATTACAATCGAATTCCAGATCAAAAGGACCCGTTCACGATACAAATGAACAGGAATGGAGAACACCGATGATCTACAACACTGTATTATCTCTTAGAAATTCTTGTAAGTAAGGACGATGATTGCTTCCGATCGGCTGATGACGCTGACTACTTGTTCAGCAGAACGTCATCTGAATCATGAAGCTTTGGTCTTGTGGCGCTAGGCTGTACCATTGAGTTTCTCAATAATATACATAATGCATTCGCTGTCTCAAATCCATTTCGTGTCAACGATCCTTCGATTTTTATTTCATGGGCATACTGGCTGGACCTTCCAGAAGTGTTTGTTCTTGTCTAGCTGCCATTACTAATCTGATTGATCAATTATATTCCTAATGCCGTCGTGTATAAAATACGCAAATGTGAAATCTCAAAATAAACTCTGAACAATGATAACGTTTAAATGTATTACATATTTCTGCATTCAACAATAGGAATAATCCATTAAGTAAATACCTGATTCTTCTCACTGCGGTGAAATCCACGTACGATACATATTGTCGTATGTGTTCATACATCTAATTGGTCTTCAGAAACCCAAGCTTGTAAGATGCAACTAACGGGATCGGGTGGTCAGGCTCCCTGACTTGGCTGATGCCTGTCATCGTATGATGCGACTAACGGGATCGGGAGGTTAAGCTCGCTGACTTGGTTGATGCAATCGCAATTGCGAACATCGATGCTTGTGATGTCAATCTCTGGATTGTCTGGCCCAGGCTCGAATATTTCCAGGCCGCCATATAGCTGGATTGTGCTGAGTGCGTTGTTAAACAACACACAAGACACACAATACAGAATACAATCGGTTAACGTTGCACAGCAATGACGCACATACATAGAATAAAAAGGAAATGTCAAATGCTAAACACATATGCTTTACCACTTAGATGTTGTTATCCAGCAATAAAACAACGGGATTAATGTTTACAGACTTATTAACGTAAGGGCTATGCTCATTAGAGGAGACAGCGAGTGCACAGTCTAACCATCGTACAAAACAAAGTCAAATTATATCTGCTAATACAGCCAGGGTATTATTCTCATTCCCATGACAGTACAGCCATGTCGGGACAAATTGAAAAATTGCGGGATCATAAGTGATTGCAGCACGTGAAATGCTCTTGACGTGTTTGGAAGGTAGGACTGGTCTCTGTTGGGTAATCATTGCTGGTGTGGAGAATTGGAGACGTCCTAAGTGTTCTATGCCGTGAGCAGTCCGTCAAAGGATATATGGACAGATAGATGCTTTCTGTGAACAGTTATTCTCCTGTCAGAACTGATAACCACAGAACTATGTTGTATCTATGTTACATAGGACACTGTATGTGTCTACCCGACCTCCATGTCACTCACGTAAGACACTGTATGTATCTACCCAACCTCCATGTCACATAGGACACTGTATGTATCTACCCAACCTCCATGTCACATAGGACACTGTATGTGTCTACCCAACATCCATGTCACATAGGACACTGTATGTGTCTACCCAACCTCCATGTCACATAGGACACTGTATGTGTCTACCCAACCTCCAGGTCACATAGGACAGTGTATGTGTCTACCCAACCTACATGTCACTCACATAGGACAGTGTATGTGTCTACCCAACCTCCATGTCACTCACATAGGACAGTGTATGTGTCTACCCAACCTCCATGTCACTCACATAGGACAGTGTATGTGTCTACCCAACCTCCATGTCACTCACATAGGACAGTGTATGTGTCTACCCAACCTCCATGTCACTCACATAGGACACTGTATGTGTCTACCCGACCTCCATGTAACATAGGACACTGTATGTGTCTACCCGACCTCCATGTCACATAGGACAGTGTATGTGTCTACCCAACCTCCATGTCACTCACATAGGACACTGTATGTGTCTACCCGACCTCCATGTAACATAGGACACTGTATGTGTCTACCCAACCTCCATGTCACATAGGACAGTGTATGTGTCTACCCGACCTCCATGTCACTCACATAGGACACTGTATGTGTCTACCCAACCTCCATGTCACATAGGACACTGTATGTGTCTACCCAACCTCCATGTCACGTAAGACACTGTATGTATCTACCCAACCTCCATGTCACATAGGACACTGTATGTATCTACCCAACCTCCATGTCACATAGGACACTGTATGTGTCTACCCAACCTCCATGTCACATAGGACACTGTATGTGTCTACCCAACCTCCATGTCACATAGGACACTGTATGTGTCTACCCAACCTCCAGGTCACATAGGACAGTGTATGTGTCTACCCAACCTACATGTCACTCACATAGGACAGTGTATGTGTCTACCCAACCTCCATGTCACTCACATAGGACAGTGTATGTGTCTACCCAACCTCCATGTCACTCACATAGGACAGTGTATGTGTCTACCCAACCTCCATGTCACTCACATAGGACAGTGTATGTGTCTACCCAACCTCCATGTCACTCACATAGGACACTGTATGTGTCTACCCGACCTCCATGTAACATAGGGCACTGTATGTGTCTACCCAACCTCCATGTCACATAGGACAGTGTATGTGTCTACCCGACCTCCATGTCACTCACATAGGACAGTGTATGTGTCTACCCGACCTCCATGTCACTCACATAGGACACTGTATGTGTCTACCCGACCTCCATGTCACTCACATAGGACAGTGTATGTGTCTACCCAACCTCCATGTCACATAGGACACTGTATGTGTCTACCCAACCTCCATGTCACATAGGACAGTGTATGTGTCTACCCAACGTCCATGTCACATAGGACACTGTATGTGTCTACCCAACGTCCATGTCACATAGGACACTGTATGTGTCTACCCAACCTCCAGGTCACATAGGACACTGTATGTGTCTACCCAACCTCCAGGTCACATAGGACAGTGTATGTGTCTACCCAACCTCCGTGTCACATAGGACACTGTATGTGTCTACCCAACCTCCATGTCACTCACATAGGACAGTGTATGTGTCTACCCAACCTCCAGGTCACATAGGACACTGTATGTGTCTACCCAACCTCCATGTCACTCACATAGGACAGTGTATGTGTCTACCCGACCTCCATGTCACTCACATAGGACAGTGTATGTGTCTACCCAACGTCCATGTCACATAGGACACTGTATGTGTCTACCCAACCTCCAGGTCACATAGGACACTGTATGTGTCTACCCGACCTCCATGTCACTCACATAGGACAGTGTATGTGTCTACCCGACCTCCATGTCACTCACATAGGACAGTGTATGTGTCTACCCAACGTCCATGTCACATAGAACACTGTATGTGTCTACCCAACCTCCATGTCACTCACATAGGACAGTGTATGTGTCTACCCGACCTCCATGTCACTCACATAGGACAGTGTATGTGTCTACCCAACGTCCATGTCACATAGGACACTGTATGTGTCTACCCAACGTCCATGTCACATAGGACACTGTATGTGTCTACCCAACCTCCAGGTCACATAGGACACTGTATG